AGAGAAAAAAAAATTATAATAAGATTTCCTGTTTGGGGAGAAGATTTTTATGGGAACATGTCTATTAGACTTAAAGTTTCCATTACAAACTGGAAAGAAAATTCATGCTTTCTCCGTAGGAGAAAATTGATATGGCCGTTGAATTAGAATGTTTATGCCATTTTCCTTCCGGTAGTTATGTGATTTCCAACTTTCCTTCCCTACCAATCTCAGAAGTATTCTCCTTTAAGAAGAGAATATCGTAACTCCTGATTCCATATATCTCCCAGGCAGTAAACTACCTTCAGTTGGACAGCCTTCACAGGATGTAGCTGATGTCACTGTCTATGGCCATGCCAACCCTAATGTGCCTATTCAAATGTGGTGACCTATGTTTGATAAATTGGTTCAAATTAATAACCTGTAACTATCGCTAACAGAATGCAATGGTGGTTTTAAGCCAGGAGGAGTGCTCAATCTGTCTTGGTCAATTTGCAAAGAAGCTACCTCTCTCCTCTGAGCTTCGGTTTGTTTAGACAGTGTGACTACTTATAGGATTAGAATATTCTCTTAACCTGTTTTTGCTGCTTAGACAAAGGGGTTGTTTACAGTGTTTTGGGTGTTGTGGGTTTTTTTGTTGTTTGTTTGCCTTTGCCTCATTCCACCTTTTGGTGATTACCTTTCACAGGGTGCAGATTGGGGTGAACAAGGTAGGAAGAGTAAGGCTACAGGGGTCAAATTACTACCTTTGCCCTCCCTGATTGTTTCTCATCTCTATCCTCTCTCATCAGTAGGCGCTAAGGACACATTTGACCTTTGCTTAAATGAAGACATGAAAATGGAGGACATTGTGGAAACTCTGACTGGGTTTTATTTACCTTTGCCTGACAATGCAGTTGGTTACACAGTTAGCAACGTAATGAAAGCTTATTGAGTAAATAATAAACACTCTGCTGCTACGTGTACAATATCATTCTGAGAACCCAGAGCATAATACAAATCCGTCACTTTTTTATATCAAATCTCTAGTTTCGAGAATAATCTTCAGTGATAGCTCTAAACATTTTATGTTGCACTTCTAATGGGCATGGACCATCAAGGGGTTTGTTGTTTATAAGCCACCTCTTTATGAATGCATTTGGCTATTGCACAGACTTTCCATTACCTTAGCCACTTACAAAGAAATTCCAAATAACTTTTGTCAGATGTTTTAAGGAGGGTGGCTTCGGTAGGGTCCCTTTGCTTGAAATAGGCCATAAATGAAGTTGACATGAAGAATGTTCTTGCAAAAGCAACCTGGAAAGACAAGTAGTACCAGTGAATTCGTTATATTTCACCTTCTCCTCCTCCTCTGTTCTTCTGATAGTTCTGCTTTGCTTAATGTTTTGAATATTTAATACTATGCTAATTTTTTTCCATTTAGTGTCATTTCTATTCTAGAGAAAATTTTATAGAAGTTGTTCTGCCAATATTTAAGATAAATGGGGATGGTATTTGGGACATTTGCATTGTTTGAGATTATTTTGAACTTCAAAAATTGTTTTTCTTTCTCTATGGGCTTTTTTTAATGTTTAAAGGTGGTGACAACTACTAATAATGTATTCATTTTCCTTTCTTCTCAAATTCCAATTTTAGGTAGGAAGAGAAAAATAAGATTTCACTGAGGCAGAGTCATCAATGTTGATGCATGTCATAATTGCCTTAATGACATTTTTTGAACATTGATGCAGTAAAATGTGATTTAAAAAAAAATAGTATCCTGCAAGAATTCAAGCACATAGGGACAGGATCACCTCCATATTTTCTAAAAAATTAACCTTGGTCTGTGGTTTAACTTTCTAGTTTTTCTATTAGTCTAGGCCCTCAGTACAAATAATCTCTTCCTCAAAACAGAGCCCCCTATTTAAATTCATACTTAAGAATTTATCCAGACACTATTGGGCCTGGAGTGACTTGGGAAATAAGAATTGGTAGCATCTTAGAATGTCAGAGTTGAGTGAGACATCGGAGATCATCTCATCTGAGCTCCACCTTTATCAGCAAGAAAATAAAGTGCCAGGAGGGAAAAGCCATTTTCCCATGTCACATATGTTGTTAACATTAAGACAAAACTATACCCCTTCCCCGGTGCCAAGTTAGTTAGCATTCTGGCATATAGGTGGGTTGTTATTTTTCCGATTTCTCTATGTTTAAAACAGACTCTCTTTTTATTCACCACAAATCTTGTACAGAAGTATGTAGTTTCATATATAAAGCTGAGTGACCCATAACCCAATGTTCAATTCTCAGGATATCATGGATTTTACATTTACCTCTTATAAAGGTTTGTGTCAGTGAGCATGGTAACTAGAAAGCATATAAAGCTTTTTAGAACAAAGGTTTTACTGGTAAATTTAAAATGTTTCAGCTAATATTAACCGTAAAAAAGAAAGATTAACGAATTCTGGAATTTTATATCTACCTATCCTTTTCCTAAGGCTAACAGAGTTAGCTTGTTATGCATGTTTGAGTCAGTGATCATTTTGATGGACTAGCACTTTCTTCAGGAGACAAGTTAATATAGGTCTTTTTCCAAGATTACCTCACATTCAAAAATACCTCCTAACTTCCATAGCATCAAGAAAACAGTGTGTTTGGTAATGTGCTAATTGCGTCTTTGTAAGGAAATGAGGCTTGTGTGTAGGTGGAAGGAGGGGACCAATTGAAATGGGTGCAGCTGGGGGTGAGTTAAGAGGGAATTTCAAGAGAGATTATCCAGGGAGAAAGGGCCTTTGTACTGTGGGGTGTGACAGGATGCACACCCTGCTTTTAAAAAGTTCTCTTATCAGCACTTTGATAACCATCCTTCTCAGACATCCAACTTCCCTCCCAATCTTCCTTCAGATCCCAGACTCTTCCCCTGAAAACCCTGGTGAAATCTCAACAAGAAATAAATAACACTCTTTATAATTCTAAGGCTAGAAACCGAAAGAGAGTGTTGACTTGTGTCGCATTTACTGCATTTCACGCACCCTGGGCATTTGTTGTCAGCAGAACCACATACAGGATGTGAAATGATTTTTAAAAAATTAATGCCAAAAATCTGGAAAAACTAATACCAAGTACTCTGTAGCTTCAAAATGCAGCAGAATTATTAAAACTGATCGATCGATGTACTCTTTATTTGGAGAATTTGTTGTCCAGATTTATCTTTGGATTCAGATTATTTTCCGTGTTAATGATGCCAGACTACAGCGTTTTTTGTCTTCGACATTTTCAGTTATCATCTTAACAATATTGGCAAAACAGAAAAAGCACGCAAAGACTCCCCTTGTTATTAAAATTTCAAGACTGTTTCATATTTTCAAGACTTTTTAGAACTGGCCAATGAAAAAAAAATCAAGCACCACTTGTAAAAATTTTTCTAATATCCTAAAATATACTCACACACCATATATCCATCATTATATTTTATTTAAGGAAAAATACAAACCACAAGCCCAGAACTTGCCATTAAGTTATATTTAGCATGTTTTCCAAATACTAACGTGAAGCAGAAAATTGATTTTCAACCAGAAATGATGTTATTTCATGAGTATAACTCTTCTTAAACACATCATACTTTGAAAATATATTTGCTTTTCCTGTTTGAAAGAAGACAGTAGGGCAGACTACTCTTTGTCTTGACAAACTAAATATGCTTAATAAATCATTTTTGATGTGATAGGATTTGGGGCAATTTTTTTAAATTCAAAAAAATGTCATCCAGATTAAACACAGGTGTGACCTTGATAATAGATTGGTCTAAAGAATATTAAAACTAAAGACAGAGAATATAAGACAACTGCTGGGCTGCATCTTCCCATCAGAGTGGTCAAGCACCATCCAGCTGCACTGCTCGCTCCCTCCCACATGCCTCAGCTCCATTGTCCCAGGAAAGTCTGGTGAGCTGCTAAGAGGATCAAGAGACCCAGGCACGCTGGCAGTGCTCAAGGGTTCTTGTGAATCCCCTTCCTCTATCTCCTTCTTTATCTTTCAAAAGAAATAGTTATGGAAGAGAAGAGGTAGCAGTGCTGTGGAGAACCAAGCAATAGGTCGAAGTTAAAGGCTTGAGGCTCTAAATCACGTCTCTACTAACAACAGTGCTGGGATCATTGCGAAATTACTCAGCCCTTTTATAAGTTATTAAAACTTCCACCTCCCTCATCTTTACACATATGAGGTTGGACTCAATCTCCAAGGCCTCTAGCTGTTTCCAAACCCTGTGATGCAGACTACCCATAAAAAATAAATAGCATGAACTCTGGGATGTTCAGTTTCTAAAGTCAAGTTGTAAAGGGTATAAGCTTTTTCATTAACAAATGCCAGAAGCTATACGGAACTCTGTGGCGTGCTCAATAAATATTAAACAATCAATTTTATCTTTCATCAGCAAAATGGGGTGAGTAATGCTGATTTGTCTCACAGAATTTCATGCGAGAAATAATAAATGAGAACAAAGCACTTTTCAGATAATGAAGTAATTCGAATAAGCTGCTTTAATAGGTCTGAGGTCTAGCTAGATGATGCAAGAATAAAGTATCTTTTTTATTATTACATCTGTGAAATACAGCAGTCTTTTCATCTGTTTAAGAAGAAACTGTCATTACCCTTGCTTATCACCAGAAAGTCAGCATGAGTAATTTCTGTGCAAATGGAATTTTTCGTGTGATTTTAACATTTATCACTTTTAACAAAATGCGCCTTTTAGCTTTACCTGATATCAGAATGGAATCATATCTTGATTTAAATAGTTTAATGAGGTGTTCCATCAGCATTACACTCTTCTGCCTAAAGAAAATGCTTTTTGAAATGACTGATAAGCTGTGCAAATGAGAAAATTGTAAATTTAATAATCCTCCTACTCAAAAATAATACAATTCAAGAATTGCTACTAAGGAAAATGAGGTATCACATTCTAGTTTCCTGGAGACTTCCACAGTCTGTTCTTTTTCATGCTTGTGTTCAGTAAATATTATGTGCTATTTTTTTTTTTTTTACAGTGTTTCAACAAAAGACAGCTGGAAGACAATCTGATGGTGACAAGTTCCATGGTCTTAAGAGACAAGGTAGTAACACGAACTTCAGTTTATTCAATAATCTCTAAGTAAGATTTAAAGAAGTCCTATGAATATTGGGTAAAGTCTCTGAGGATAGAAGTAAATAATTGTGTGCCTGATTAGTCTTACTCTTTAATTAGTGTCTTGCCCAAATATAATTTTGTCATTAGATTAATACAAGAAAATTATTTCAATTAATAAAGGCAAGAAACAACCTTGTGAGAATGTTTGTGGTGATGTTGATGATGTTGTTACCAGGGCTGTAGGAAGGTCAAGTGATACAACTTCTCTAACCTGTATGGAGACCATGCTTTCATAGACCATTAGAGAGAAGCCTCTGGAGTGTAAGCAGGGTGGGTTGGGGACGGGGGAACAGATGATTGATTTCTCAAAGAAGGGGACCAGCATGGGATTTCTGTACTCTGCATTGAACTCCAATCAAAGATTGGACCCTTTTCTCACTATTCTTTTGCTCTCCACCCTCAATCTAGCAGTTTTTGGAACACTTACTTGTCAGGCAGAAACAAACTGAAAACTGTAGCTACAGAGACAGCACACACAGTAGCAAAATTGTCCTCTCTCTCTAAGATTTCCCTGACGTGCCTGGTTCCAGTGGGAAAGAGAAACTCTAGCAGGTTATTTACTGCGATGTTCCCCCTGATAATAAGCGCTTGGTTAAAGTTCAAAAATGAAAAATGTAAAAGGTGACGGATGTAGGGGGCTGGCTCTGATAATCAATAATCTCAACGCACCTTGGAAATAACTTCAGTCCAAGATAGCATTGCCTTGAAATTGCTACCAGTAAATTATTGAAAGACACATTAAAATAAAACCAAGAGGTTATCTCCCAGTAGCCACTGAACACCGCCCCCTGCCCCCACCAGTGTCCTTTGTGCCATCGTAGAGATGGCTGGGCACTGACCGAACCCACTTCTCACTCCACCTCAGTGGACCTGCTCGTAAGATGTCATGGATTGTCCTCCAAGCAAAGGTATGTCCTTAACGAGTGATCTTCATCCATCCCTTCAAATGGTACTTAGATCGTTCTTCCAATTAAGTACATGATGCTTGAATGCAGCACATGATGAAGCTGAATTTCTGGCCCTGAACACATAGATATACTGCTTACAAATTTACATGTAGAAAAAAAAAAAAAGAAAAGAAAAGAAACCTCTATTTGACAGCTTTCCATTTCTAGTGATTTCATAATTTGAAGGAAAAGATTTATCTTTTTAAGGTTATTATCCCTCCACTGTACCTTTACCTCTCTCAAGAAACAAGTGCAGGCCTCCATATGAGATCATTCTACAATTAGAATCAAACAGTTCCTGAGGAATTAGCAAAGTAGAGATTATTCCTATCAGGACTCCCCCACATACCCCACAGAGTTTTGGAAAGAACAAAGAGAGAGGATGCTTTGAGATCTTTAGGAGAAAATTTCCCTGAAGCATTCTTAAATAAATTACTCAATTATCATGTTTTAATTAAATTCTGTTAAAATTGAGGAGGAAATGTGAAGAAACCCATCAGAGATAAAGGAAGGTGACAAATAGCAAGAGGAATGAAGAGGTCCTTGGAATTCTCGCTCTTACCAGTTGTCCTCTGGCTACCCCCAGAGAGCAACATAAGGAAAGGCTGCTAGTGTCTATTAGAGACAAATTATTCTTCACCTTATGTACAGAAAAATAGTCCCTTCTGTAACCAGAAAAAAAAAGGGAGGGGAGAATAGTGAAAGGAAATAAGAACCTAATTATAAAATATTTTATTGGATTAATATCTCTCCATACCTTGGTACCTAATTTGTTTCATTAAGATCAACAATCAGTATATTTTTAAAACTCTTTTAGGGCTAGGATATGAAAATTTTACTCAAATTTTGTATGAATTTTTTCTCTCTGTATATTTAAATCCAACTTATTGATGATGTTTTAGATTAGTCACCTTAGAGCAGTTTCCCTAGATTCTTTTAACCCTGGATATCAGTAATTCTGTAGAAAAGAAAAGAATATTGTTCTACTTGCTAGGAGAAGAGGAACATTAAACCTTGTGAAATGTTGGAAAACCTCCCTGATTACTGCAGTCTGCAGGGAAATCAGAATCTAATGTGAGAACAGAAGAGATAATTAAGAATAATTGGGAAGATTTTAAAATTATACAATTTTACTTTTTTCTTTACTCTCTCCAATCATTTTTCTCTAAACCTTTTCAGATATTTATGACTATCCAGCCCATGGGACATACTAGGCGATCAAAACTGCTTATTCCTGAATTAATGATTACTCTTTAACTATCCTGGATTTCATGGTATAGTTGGAAAAACAGTACCTGCTTCACCGATGATAATCTCTTTATTTGAACAACAACAAAAAAGGCCCTTTTATGAAATTTTTGTCAGAATCAAGATTTCCTAAAGGGACTAGACAGGTTCTCTAAGGAAAGTTAAAGAAATTATTTAATTCTTTCACAATATGCTGGATGGAAAAGGGATTACAAGAGCCAACTATTTTCCCACTGAGATTGTAAGTGTTTCGGATGCCCTACATTCAAGACTGCCAAGGGATTGCCAGGAAGTTACATTATTGCTAAGTCAAGGAATTTTCCTGAGGAACAGAAAAAATTAATTGGCACCATTTCCATGGAAACTTAACAGATTTCTTCAATTCAGTTTTCACATCCTGAAAAAATATAGGGAAAATGGTGAGGACTTTGGATCCTCCAGATAAAAATTTCCATCAAAATACAGTTTTAAAATCAGTTTTCCTGAGTTGGCTTTGAAATTAGAAAATGCCAGAGTGATATCTCAGAATATGCTGCTAGCACAGCTCTCCGACCTTCCCCAAACTTGAGCTTCCCAGGGTGCTCAAGGGTTTGTTCATCAACATTGCAAGCCAGAGAACTGAATTTTGTCAGTGGGCTTGGAGCCGATCAGAGTTTTGAAGTCTGAGTCATGTTAATGATGCTGGTAGAGGACTGATTTATAACCCCTAATTTTAATCTATTAAGTCTATACTAGAATGCTTGGATTCATTAGACCCCTGACAAATAATAAAATTTCTATGAAATATTATTAGTAATTAGAAGACTACTAGGTGAACACGATCAAGTCAAAGGGGGCTGGAAGAATGAAAGGGCTGCTTCTTCAAAGACATGGAAATATCTGGTTAATTTTCCCTGCCTTACAAGATCATGTAATAGTCTCAGGTCAAGATTTCTCACATCTCCCATACCTGTTACACCTTTTTTCCCCCTTTGTTACATCTTTTTCTTGGACTATGCCAAGGAGCCTTTTCTATCTTCACTGGAATCATCTGCATATTATTAACGTAGTCTTACCTCGAATATGGTACATGGCAACTGATGAGGTTTAGCGTTCCTAGCATTTGGAACTGCCTCCCTGTGATTATGGGCCACATCCACAAATCTCCTTAGTCACACAGTTAAATAATGAATCTCATCAGGGATGTGCTGTTGCTGTCACTCTTGGAAGGCAAACCATTTCTTTGGGGGATGGGGTTAGGTTGGAGGTAGGGGGAGCACATCCACGCTAGCCAGCTGCCTATATCCACGACTCCCAACCCTAGATGAGCATAAGAATTATTTGTGGCGCTTCTAAAATTTGGTTGCCTAAATCTCACCTTAGACATGGCTAAAAATAGAACATGTGAGAATAGTAATGAGCAATAATCTCAAAACCACCATGCAAAAGACAAAATATAACCAAAAGAAACTTTTTTGAAGGCCATATTGTAGTCAAATTTGGCCACTAACTGTTATATTTCAAAAGTAGTCTGCACAACATAATTTTAATTTTTGCCATGTTTAAACCATGCTTAACTCCATGTTTCACATAAAAATTCAGATCTCCAACCACTCCCCATTGTATTATTATATCATTTGCTACAAATGACTTCTGCTGTTATCATGCTTTCCATGTTGTTTTCTTATATTCGAGACACATTCGTCTAAGTTCATAATTCCATAAAAAGTGGAAAAATAAATGATATATCAAGAGAATCAGGTCAATAAAAACATGAAGGAAAACACTTATATTTGATAATGGAAACTATTCACATGTGTTTAATACGTAGGCACTAAATCTTCTCCACTCAGTAACTACCTGCCTCGCCCCAGGTATAGTCTCTGCCCACTGATTCTTCAATACAGACTGAAAAGTCATTGTTGGCTGGTCTTTTCAGGGGGTGTGAATGCTCATGGGAAAGATACAGTCAGGGAACATATCTTGTTTGTGTTCTCCAAATGCTCAGTGCTGCAGTAGTCTGATAAATGTTAAATAATGAAATTTTCTGCAAGTTGGAGGCCCAGAGAAACATAGATGTAGATGGTATTGCCCTTACGTGGGAGAAAAGAGAATGCTGGCCTCTGAGGTATTTTCATCAGGCTGTTTTTGCTAGCAGTGGATATATTAAAAAGAAAAGAGGGAGAATTATCGTGGTCATTTGTACTCCATAAAAGAAAAATGGCCTCAGTTCTCTTTTTCAGTGTAACTTACATTTCCATTTTCACAAAAGTTTTTTTTATCATAGTCACACCTGAGAAAACTCACATAATAACTGGGTCCTTGTCCGAAATGGTGATGTGTCAAAAGCCCACAGTAGAAAGTGAGGAGGAGGGATTCAATGTTTCACTTTGCATCCCGAGACCCCCAAATAAAGCTCTGTGATGGAGGGATGGCATGTTAAGAAGAATTCTGTTAGTAATTGATGCAGGGAGTTAGTTGCTTACAGACCAATCAGTACATAGTGCCAAAGAATCATATTTCACCTGAACGTGACAAGGCTGCACTAACCAAACCTGCTAAACCCTGGGGTCCTCAGTTGTGGATTGCAACCATCAAAATCCCCTGCACACTAGAGCAGAGAACAAAATTTGAACACAAGGAATAGAAGCAAAGGATAAATAGACACTAAATCCCTTGGTGAACATGATTCTATAGATAGGTTCTCTTTCAAGAAGGGTTGAGGAAGAGAACAAATAAATAATATGAGGAC